ACATAAGGCTGAGACTTACTGCAAATGGATTATGGGGTAGAAGGGCTTCACAAGAAAAAACAAGTGAAATGGCAAGATCTCAGTACTCTGTCAGGTTCAGAACCACTATTTTTCTTATCCAAATACTCAACCTTGTGGATAGTGTATCTAGTTTACCATTCTGGGTATGTGGGGGACGGCTCAGGGTGAACCTGAACTTGAAGGGGAAAAAAGGGACCACCAGATGCTGGCTGAGAACCCTTGAAATTCACAGGTATTCCAGGTTCTTGTGGCCTACATATATTTGGACCAGGAAATGTGAACCTTCCTTAAAAGCAGCCATGATGGCCACTAATTCCATGTCACAGATTCCACAGTTTTATTTAATGACATCAATTCCTGGGAATTAAATGCAGGAGGAAGTAAGAGATAAGAGAGGAGCACATTCTGGTGCTCATGCTATTGTCACAACACTACTCTGATCATAAAAATCAGAAGGGTGTGCTTCAACCATGAATGGTTGTGTCAGGTTTGGATGTACCAACATGGGTGCTGATGTAAATGCTTACTTTGATCTATTAAAGGCAAATTGGGCTTCCTGAATCCAAGTAAATGGGATATTCTTCTGGAGAAGCTAGATAATTAATGTCATTGCCTTCAAAAAGTCCTTGATGAAATATTGGTAAAAATTGGCAAATCCCAGAAAATATATAACATCACGGAGGTTTGTTGGGGCTGCCCGGTTCTCTGTTGTAGACACTCTCTTGGGGTCCATACCTATCCCACCAGAGGCACTGACATAATCTAAGAAGTCAATAGAAGAGTTATTAAACTTACAGTTCTCGAGTTTTACACACACACAGTTTACTTGGAGGCATTCAAGTACCAGATGGAAGTATTGGTCATGAAGAGTTTGACTTTCAAAGTGAGGAAGTCATCTACATAGATCCCCATGAACTGATCTAAAACATTCCTGAAAATGTCATTGACAAAGTGCTGGAATGTGACTGGTGCTTTGGAAAGACCAAAATGCATGCCTAGATATTCAAAATGACCATAATGGATGCAAAACACTGTTGTTCTTCCAAATACAGACTAGGCTGTGAGCACCAACCAGATTGAGCTTTGTAAATAACTTGGTGGAACTGATCTTTTCCAACAGCCCATTGGTCAAAGATAAAGCATCGTTGCTCAAGTCATGATAGTCCACATGAAGGAACAAGGAGCCATCCTTTTTCACAAACTAAATTGGGGCCCCAGCAGGAGACGTGGTTGTATGGATGCAGCTCTTTGCAAGAGTCTTGTCCAGGTATTCTCGTAGGGCCCGGAGTTCTGCTTTTGATAAGAAGTAAATCCAGCCTAATGGAATTTTACCCCTGACCTGGAGATGCATGGGGCAATCATAGGATCTGTGCAGTGCTAAAATATCAGCATTTCCTTTTAATCAAATAAGTCAACACACTTGTGATATTTCATGAGGTTTAATGAGATAATAGCTCCTTGAAACTGCTGGACACAGAAGGCTACTAGGCTTCCCCCACCACTTTTTATTTCCTTGGTCCCTGACTCGCCTAGACATATAGTCAGCAGCAGCTCAACTCAAATCATATCTTGAGCTACTTCCATGAAATGTGAAGATAATGCACTGAGAGCTAAGGAATACCAAGCATGATCAGAAAGCAAGGTGTCATAATTAAATTGAACTGTCAAGTCTCTTGATGATCTCAGAGTTCAACCACGGTAACTGAACCAGAAGACAGCATGCTATCATTGATTGTTTTCACAAGACCCAGTGTGTCCTTCCTTTGCAGCAGAAATTACATAGCCTGAGTGAATCCAGCATCCATGAAATTCGTAGGGGCACTAAACTCCACAAGTGCAATTTGAGTGCAATTCACCGCAGGTGTAGTTGAGGTCCAGAGACAGAGCAAGGCCTGAAGGTTTGGAGGTTGACAATTCATGGCTGCCAAGATACGTTTAGCTTGGAGGACTCGCTTCTGAGGTTACATCAGCCACTAATCCTATGATGAGCTGGATGAGATTATTTCTCCAGGATTGCCAAAAGTCTAGATTTAAGGAGGCACTCAGTGGCAAAGGAGTCCTGCCCCCCCTGCCCAAAATACAGGCAGGATCTGCTGCTGCTGTGTCTTCTCCTGATCTATGTTACATTAGTCTGCATAGACTCCAGCTCTGCGACAGCTTGATGGGATAGCTGGAACAAAGCAAGATGAGGCTGGAGTTGATGGTATTGCCTCCTTTTTCTTGACATCACTAGAATACATGATTGTCAGTCTGGAGGGCACAGTAGTGCCAAACTAGGGGGAGATTTGACCTATGCCAATTCATCTTTCACATAATCACCCCTGGCAGAAATGGTAAACCTGTGCCGCCCTCTTCCACTCTGTGTCAGGGACCAGATGCAGAAAATGGGCAGCACAGGCCAAGAGTCTTGTTGGAGACACTTCATCCACTCTGTGTCAGGGACCAGATGCTGAAAATGGGCAGCACAGGCCAAGAGTCTTGTTGGAGACACTTCAGGGTATGGTTGGTGTCAGAGATGTGGTTTAGACCATCAGTTATAACAGAGAAGACCTGGATGAACTTGTCAAAGTCACTGAGTTATCTGGTCCATTTGAAGAGGCGAGTCTCAGTCCAGGGCTTCAGTAGTTGATAAATTGATAATAAGCCCCACCACGATGGCTCCGGACAAACCAGGAACAAAAGGAGCATTGGTTATGAAAATCATGGAATTTTTGGTGGTTCCAATCAAAGCTTTCAGGCAGTGGACCCTTCAGGTGCCATAGCAAGCTGTACTGGGGTCACTGTGGCTGCCTAGATCTGTGAGAGGAGGGAGGCATTCTCCACATGTGGCTGAGCAACCTGACCCAAAAGGCTGTGGACCAGCTCTGTCATCTCAGGGATGGACAATCCAGGGGTCACCTGCTAGAGCCAGGCAGAAAAGGAGGCAGTCTGCAAAAACTGTCAAACTGAGAAGTGGGTGGTAATGCTGAGTGAAAGAGGCAACAGTGATCAAATCTAGTGATTGGGGCAGCAGCTGTCAGGTCTTGCGGTCAGGCTGGGGACTGGAACCAGGAGTCATAGTAGGAATCAAGAACCAAAAGCTGGACTGGAACAAGGCTGGAGCAGGAGCAGTCACAAACTGGGGCTGGCACAATACTAGGGCCCATTGTGCCCCCTGCCTGTGTATGCCACCACTTGCCCTACTGTCTCACTCAACCTCAGATAGTCTGAGATTTGGAAGGGGTAATTTCTTAGAGGTAGCACTTTACATTTTCATACTTCTACATTGTTTTCATTCTCTCTGTCTGACCACCCTATTCACAGCAACATAAGAAACTCCCACTCCAACAGTGAAAACAGCACATTTCTACTGTTCTATGGTGCAAGCTGCAGAAACTCCTCATTTTTTGAGGAGTAAGGGTTATTTCGAAGGAAGGGTTTTTTCTTGAAATAACCCCCCGGGGACCACATTTGTTTTCTCGAAAGACATTATTTCGGAAAAGCGGTGGTCCGCAATTATGCAAATGAAGCTCAGGAAATTCAAATCTGAGCTTCATTTGGAATTTTGCTTGGCTGCATTTGCATTCCTCTCTCAGAAGAGGAACATAATGTAGACACAGTCTCTGAGGCTACGTCTACACTGCCGGTTTTGCCGGCAGTGAGTATGCAAATGCGACACATATTAGCATATCGCTGTACCTCATTTGCATAATGTATTCAAGGCTTTTTTGAAGGAAAAAAAGTAGTGTGGACATTTTCTTTTTGCGCAAAAACCCCTTTTCCTGCCAGATCGGTAAACCTCCTTTTTTGGGGCATAAGGATCTTGCGAGAAAGGGGGGTTTGGTGCAAAAAGAAAACGTCCACACTGCTTGTTTTCGCACAAAAACGGATCGGCAGAAAATATGCCAATGAGATCACAACTCATGCAAATGAGTCCCTCATTAACATAATTTTGCCGAGAAAACTCTTAGTGTAGATGAAGCCTGAGAGAGCAAAAGTGATTTGGTGCAAGTGGGCTGAAGGCATAGCTACTCTGTCCTTTTATGTTATGGATCCAGGGAGTCCACAAACCTATGTGATAGGAGAAGTGGCCTCCAACCATTACTCCTGCCTATAGCTAGCAGTAGCAACAGTATAGTGAGTGCGCATGAGCAACATTTCACTGGTACCAGAACAAACGTATCACACGAGCCCCCAGCCCAACCCACATACAGAAAGAGGTACAAACATACTCACTGAGATTATATAAATAACATTTAGCTGAATTCAAACATCTGCAGTTTAGCCTGATTTTTTTCCCTCCAGAGTGATGGCCCCATTTACTTAGGGTCTGTGTACACCAGTTGGGTGGGGTTGGGGTTATGCATTTTGTGCCTTCGTGGTTTGTATATATGGCTGAGAGCACAGTCTTCTTCCTTGGACTTTTCACTCTTGACATGTTTCTTTCCGTTACTGTACTTTTAAAGAAACAAGTTACGAACAAAGGCCAGACTGACAGCTGGTTTAAACAACTATAGCGCTATTGAAATCAACTGAGCAAAAACTTCGATCTAGTCATATGAATTTGGCTTTTAGCTTTTTTGTGGAGACTGGTTTGTTTGTGGTATATGTACAGGAAACTACTTAAAGATCTCTAACCTGCAAACCAAATAACAAGCAAGTCATAAAGTATTTTAAAATGATAATGCAAACCAGGGAAAAATATAGAAGACAAAGTGGGGAATACATTCCCTGAGGCTAGGTCATTAGTGAGTCATTTAGCTCAAGGGAACACAAAGCTTAATGAGGGGAAGGATTTTCTCTGGCTCCTTTACAAAAATGAACAATATTAATTGAGCAAAAATACTTTACCAAGAAATTTTTTCCATTCAGTAAGTGAAAAATTATAACCATGTTTAATTGTGCCCTCTCTTGCACTTTTTCACTTTCCGTCTGTCTAAATGCCCACCATTGTCCACCCGTCCCTCTGACATATAGCAGTAGTACTAATCTTTACTTACTTGGGAGCACAAGCAACCTAGGGGGTGGTGGAGGTGGTGGAGGAGGTGGTAACGGAGGAGGTGGTCTACACTGACAGATTTGCTGGCAACTCTCCGTAACCTTTTCTGCTACAGAATTGGAACAGGACTTCTGGGGTTCACCTTGAATGATCTGTAAAGAATAATATGTGTTATTCGCTAGAAACTTATTGTAAGCTAAAAAGAGCTAATACACGTTATAAAATGAATAGGACCAAATTCTGCCCTCAGGCACACACATACAATCCCATTAACTTCTTTGGGAAGAATTAGATGTCTTTTCCCTAAATCTCATGAAGAAAATGGCATTTAAACATGTACATAAGTGCAGTCTTGAATAGGAGTGCTTTACTGAACCAGGACATTAAGGAGATACTGAGAAAGTAATATTAGTAATGATCTATCTAGCAATTTTTGATTAACAGTTATTTGATTATAACAAAACGCATTGCTACTTGCAAAGGGAAAGTGTGGTTTATGCCATCTTCTGGCCATATTAAAGTTAAATACATTGTAGTCACATATTTCTGGCCAAATAAAAAAACCCTGCAGTTTTAACACATGTACACCACCACTGCACACAGCACAGTTCACGTACATTGTATATCTAAATACACTCTATGTCTCTGATTACTTGGAAATAGTATTTTGTAGCTCAAACAGCAGAGAGTGCCAAAGAGAAAAGAAATAGCGATAAATTGGAGACCGGCTCTGAACAGCATGCCTCAGGAGATTCAGCACCTTAAATAGTCTATCAAAATCTATTACTAAATATAGGCAAAACCAAATTTAATCACAAACACTTTCCAACTGCCTCCCTTACCATCATGTAATAATAAAGAAAGAGACAGTTACAGACCATCCCAAAAAGTTTCCAGGAACTTACGTAAATTCATTGAACACTCTAATGAATTAAAGTGACTCAACCGTACAATTCTGCAGAGCTGGTGATAAATCTAACTGCTAAGCAAACTTCTTTTCTCTTTAAATTGAGCTCCCAGAGTTCACAAGTCTCAGAAGACTCTAGATATCATGTTAATTATGTTTATACTGCTTCTATATAGTACTGTTGCATTAACGATTATTTCAGAGGTAGCCCAATAGTTAAAACATGTGTTTGCTATAATGGGGAATACTAGTGACCTTTTCTGGGCTGCGATCTAGGTTCTTTCATGGCTTTGGTTGTTGGTGATACATTGTATAATCATTAGGGAGATTATGGGCCGATATCTTTACAATGCACGCTGGCAGTTAACTAAGGAGGCTACCAACTCATAACTATCATCCCCTGACTTGGTATTCATTTTAGCGCTTACTTTAGGTCACTAAAATGACTTGGTAGCTAGTGAAAATGGATGTAAACTAGTCATAGGATGGAATAACACTGGAGGGATTTGGAGCAAACTTTTCTTTTACTGCCTGGAAGAAGCTTTGTATATAAACATATGAGGCTAGTGATAGTATGAGAAGGCTAGATTGACTTATTATTCTAACTTAATATTATCCAAGGCCAAAAGGCTCTGTCTATTTTTAGAACTATCGACTGCCTTTTAAATCCCCAGAGGCTGTCTTACCGTGTACTGGTAATAGCATGTCCCCTGGATCCAGTGAACATTTTTCTCAGTTATTTTGCAGACAAGATTAACCCTATACCAGCTATACTCCAAGAGCGCAGCCTATTTTTGTTTTGGTTTGGGTTTTTTTTTTATGCCTTAGTCCATATCGGCTGTGTTTCCTCACACGGGTTTATTCTCAGAAAATGGTTGAGATCTAAAGGGGTGCACTTAATCACCGTTTTTCCCCCACTCCTTTGCCAGCTTTGTCATACACCAGAGCATCTGGACATTTTCAGTGATCAAGATGAATATCGTAGATTTCATCCTTACTCAAGGGGTTGTGTTAAAGGGAAAGATTTTCAAAAAACTAAAGGTTAGCTGAAAGAAGACTAACGTGGGACAGGAATGAAGGTCCCGTAGAGAGAGAGGATTAGTTAAATATTGTTATAAGGGGATTAACTAGGAGTAATGAGATAGAATTAAGAAAAGGAATATGAAAAATGTTGTCTCATTCTCAGGAAAATCTTTACTACTGATGTCTATTAGTCTTCTGATGAAAGGAATGGGAGGCCATTACTTGAGTCTTTTAAACCTAAATGGAATAAATCTCTAGAAAATGTACTGTAGGGAGCAATCCTGCACTGGCAGAGACTGATAAAACAAATGACCCAATAGATCTTTTCTGTATCTAATGTGTATAATTCAAGGTCAGCTGCCTTTACAGAAGGTGGCAGGAGTGAAAGGGATGTTGAAAAAAATCTAGACCTTTTATGGAAGATTCTACAAATTATTGCCCTCTCAAATTTACTGTTTGTTCGTTTTGTCAAACGTTAACTTAGCCAAAGAAAAACTTCAAAAGCACTTCATAAACGAGGATTAATCCGACAAATATCGCTCTGCCTTCCACTCAGTTTATTGCCCAAAGACTGCCTTTGCAAGGGGACAGTAGGGATCTGTAGGCATCTTTAGTCCAGGATTTGTTCCCTTGTTCTTTGGGCTTTCAGTGACATTTCCTATTGTTTAAAATGGCTGTGAACTGGTTGCATTTGCCCATTCAAAAAAAAAAAAAAATTATTTGGTTTGAATCTGGTTCTCTCAATACATTCAGTAATTTTTCAGCTCAGCTTCTTGGGTTGCCTGGAGTTAGAGCTAGTAGCAAAGAATTCAGCCTTTTCTCCATTCTCAACTTACCTATGGATGCTTACCTATGGAGAGCTTATTTTTATTAATGGATTCATTGTTTATAATTGTTGGAACACTTTATGTGATTGTATTTTGCATAAAGGGCAGATATTTCTTAATACACACGCAAATAAAAATCAGTTTAAACAATCACGCATGAAAAAAACAAACAAAAAGTTGTATAAACACATTCAAATTGGAAAGCAATTGCTTGTGTAGTCAGTTCTATAAAGTTCATATCTGTGAGTTTGTTTCTTTTTTAAATCAAGGATTTTTTGCAGAAATGAGGACACCAATCCTGCATTGAATAGCACATTAGTGCAAAAGTGTACCTGTGCAGAGCCCCACTGACATCAACGGGGCACCATGGAAGTCACAGCAACCATCTGCATGCTACTTGGACTGGATTCTATGTTTTTAGAATAGAGGATTAAAATGCAGCCCCCCCATTGATGGTCTCTCTGAGGCGTTCTGACCAAATGTCGGACCAAAAAAGTGCTACTAACTGATAGAGAATCAAGAACTCTAACTGTCAATCTAACCCATACAGCCCTGAGTATTGTGTTCTGTTCCCTCTACTGGTTCCGAGTCCACTTAGGGTATGTCTACGCTACAGAGAAGATGGAAGCTGCCGCTGTCGATCTTGCAGGCTTTGAATTAGTGGGTCTAGTGAAGACATGCTAATTCGAACTGAGAGGAGCACTCCGGTCGATGCCAGTAGCCCTCCATCCATGAGGAATAAAGGGAAGTTGAATGGAGGGTGTTCTCCCCTCAACTTCCTGCAGTGTGGACAGCCTCAAAAGTCGAGTTAAGGTACTGCAACTTCAGCTATGCAATTAACATAGCTGAAGTCGTGTATCTTACTTCGACCTTACCCCTTGGTGTAGACATACCCTTAGCGATTAATGAGTGTTACAGCTTTAGCTAAGGGGCATGTGGCTTTTAGCTCATGCAGTAGAAACTCATATACTAAGCTCCAGAGGTCCCAGATTCAATCCCGTTTGACAATGGCCAGGGTTTATTGGTATTACACTTGCATGATATGACAATAACTCTCCATTGTGACTGTTGTCTAACAAATGTTATACCACATTCTGATATTTCCATTGGTGAAAATCCTAAATAACTTCACTGAAGTCACAACAGAAGCATGCTAGGTTTACATCAGTGAAACTAAGATAAGATTCTATCCCAATTCATTTATTATGCCATTTATTATTATTCATTTTAATTATCTGTGTGATGGTGGCCTCAAGCAGAATTGGGGCCCCGTTGTGCTAGGTTGTACACAAATACATAAGATACAATCCCTGTCCTGCCATGCTTCTAAGCTAAGACAAGTCCCAATAATTGAGCAAAGCAAACAATAGGGAAGTGAAGAGAAGAGAGGACAAGTATAGCAGTAATAACTATAGCCAGTGAAGTTCACAACTCAGTGATTCCAAATCATTTAATAGGATTGAGAGGATGGAGAGGGGGTAGGGAAAAGTTTTTTTTTTTTTTTTAAGTTAACATCAACTACTCCTTATCTAACCACTGTTATCTGGCTGATATTTCGTGGAGATCTTGAAACAGGTCTTGGGGAGGGACTAAGAAAAGGTAATACCTTTACAAATTAGTTTAGGAAAAGTGTTTCATGTGTAAGAAGCAGCATGCAAAGAAAAGTGAAGGAAGTTATGGGAAAAGAAGATACAAGAGTAAGTCAGATGGGCATTACTGAAAGAATGGAGAGGTTAAGGGAGCAACAAAGTGAGACAACCGGGGATAAGTAAGAGAGGTATAGCTTTGACGGGCCTTCAGGATGAGGACAAAGAGTTTGAATCTGATGTGATGGAAAAAGGGGAGAGGATGGAGAGATTCAAATTCAAGGGTGATATGGTTAGACACAGAAGCAAGGAGGTTCATCTTAGCAGCTGTGTTGTATATGGCTCTGAGGAGGGCAATATGAAAATCAGGAAGGCCAGAGAAGGAGAGGATACCGTAATCAACGCAGGACATGGTGAGGGCCTGGAAAAGACTTAGTTATGTGGATTGCATGAAAAGGTTTCATTTGGAAAAAAACCATAGCGGGAAAAGCAGCAGGATTTGGATATGGTCTGGATATGCCAAGCCTACTCTGCTGCAGTTCACTATTTCTGGCAATTCCTGCCACTTCCCTCAGATGTGGGTAACCTAAATGGAACAGTATTGACAACATGCTTATGGAACCCAGGATCTCTGGGCATGTCATACTTTTTCCCCCTAAGAGTGTTTCATCAATTGCCTAAAAAACTGAAAAGTTGCTACAGAATTATTCTAGTTAGTCTGGACAAAGTTTTGAGGCTTGGCTTTGAATTAAACTAAAGATTATGGATCAAATTAATCTCTTGTTAGTAAATGAAATTATATTAAGATTGAATATGTCCCAAAATCTTGGCCTATTTACTTTTAACAACTTGCACATGGGATAATTTTCCCTTTGAGTCTAACCTGTGATGTAAGGGAGTTCATATTGGTAACAGAGCTAGAATCATATATGGATAATGGAAGGATAAGTGTAAGGTTTACTACAAGGAATATGCAGATCTCATGCCTCACTAAGGACACTATTGGCTATTTTCATGCATGACCTGTGCATTATAGACATATATGATACCTATACTTTTATCACTGGGTGTGGGGTAGAGAGGGCAAGGGGGTATGAAGAGCAGATTGATTGACTGAACTCATACCAAACACTAAAAAAAGTTGCAGTTATAGATCAAGAATCAGGTAGTAGAACTTTTAAACCATTGCAGAGGAAGTCTGCCCAACTCTAGTTAGCCATTTCCACACCTATTAAAATTAATATTGATTTTTAAATGAAGTCACCTGAGTGACTTGGTGTTTATATAAATTTTGGTCCCTGCCTGATATTTTGAAGGAGATGTTTCAAAATATGGCTTATTTTGTATCATTTGAATCTAGTGTGGGTACCTGAATTCTAGAGCAGAACAGTTGGCAGAACGAATAAATTATTTATTGAAATTGGAGTGCTCACAAATCTTATAAGGAGACACATGATACAACAAATTAAAAGAAAATCTCTGTGTCATCTTTTGGAATTCACTAAATTTAGAACAGGGAGCAAAGGACATCTCTGCTTCATCTTCTCCAAAAATGAAACCACAGTTGCTCCCTTTCTAGCTCATCCATTACTGCTCTGAAGACATAATACAAGTGTAAAATATCAAAAGGATGCATTTTTATTTAGCTTTGCTGGTTTCCTGATTGCCTGAATTGGGAGATCACTACTCATTTTAGTCTGCTATTTTCTTGCAGTCGGTCTGCAGAAAGGTCACTGGTCATTCCACATTACAATCAAGGTCACACCACACCACAGTCAGAGACTTGAGAGTGGACAAAGCTGATTCAGCTTTTATCCAGTGAATTCTCAGTTCAGAGACACTTCAGACACTATGTCAAAACATTACCAGAATGAGGCTTTCAGCACTTCCCCAATGTGTTCCTTGTTTTGTCCATATTGCCACCTACAATAATTACACTCTAAGATGATCTTATTGTCAACATGTTTAAAAAGGTCAGCTACATTTTGTTCAGAAATAAATTGAGTTCCACAGACACAAGACTCACTAGGGTGGCGATCACTTCAACTCCCTAGAAAAGGCTCTATGTTTCTCTGTAATCAGCAGTATTCAGAACTAATTATCTAAGCAAGCAAAAGCCACATACATTGAGGTATTTTTCACTGCTACTTGTGGGGCTATCAGTTTTCAAGACAACAATTTACAAAAGTTAAAAATCAGAACAATTCTCTGTGTGTACATAATCTATTTTATACACACAGAAACCCTGACCCCATGGAAATTAATGTGAATTGTTCTTATTGACTTCACTAGGGCCAGGATTTCACCCATGAGAATACATTCACATATGCATTTCAGTTCTCTCTATGTATAGAATATTGATATGTATTATTAATATGTATTATTAAGAGAGTTCCTTTGCAAACAGAGATGGGTATAAGGTCTGTCCCTGGAGAAGTTTACAAATCACAGTAAGTAAGAATTACAATATTATTGTTCGCAGTGTTGTAGACATGTTATTCCCAATATACTAGAGAGACAAGGTGGGTGAGGTAATACCTTTTATTGGATGAAGCTCTGTTGGTGAAGTTACCTGAAGAAGAGTTCTGGGTAAACTCAAAAGCTTGTCTTTCTCTCACCAACAGAAGCTGGTACCTCACCCACTTGGTCTCTCTAGGAATGTTATTTAGCATTTGTATACATCTCCATAGACATACATGTACTCGCTGTGCAAGTTGATCAGAACAGTTTGAGAAAAGCCACTGAAGTTCTCCCTAGCACAGTCAAATATTCAAATGTATATGAAAATAAGGAGACAATTTAAAAGTGGGTCCTTCTGAGATGCCAAAAATATGAAAAGGCCATTCTAAACCACACACTTTTGCATCGAACCCAAGCGATTAGAAGTTGTTCTAAACGCACCATTTTAATCTGTAAATGAAAGCCATCTTCAGCGGGGACGACTGACAGTCTTTAAAGGCATCAAGGGTGCAGCATTCAGAGATCGAAACGACACTGCATTTTACAGGACAAGTCTCTTTCTGGACCGCTGCGCGACAGTGAGCTCCACTTTCATCCCTGTAGCTGTACAGGGATATGCCTCTGTCTCTAAACGCAGGAGACGGAGCTAGCGAACCCCGCCAGGAGAGCCCGGGGCCAGCAGCGATTTTTTTCCAGCTCAGGGGAATCCTCTCCCTTCTCCCACTCCTGGCCAGGGCCACAGCGCATCAGTGAACAGCGCCAGGTGGGCACTTGTGCTGCCTGCACCCTCCCACCCAACTTGGGAGCTGGGGCGGGGGGTGTTACCTGGACAAAGCCCCAGAGCGGGTGGAGGGCACAGTGCAGCAGCAGGGAAGGCCAGCAGCAGCGGAGCAGCAGCAGCAGCTCTCGGATCGGCATCACGCCTCCGGGCGCGGGGGCTCCCGGGCTCCCGACCTGTGGAACTGAACCGGGAGAGCGCACAGGGCAGGCGTTTGATCGCACCCCCATCCCCGGAGCGCGGCGCCTCCCGCGCCCAGCGCTTCCCA